GAAGTGTTGTGAAAGCATCGGACTGCCAATCAAAAGCTGTCAAATCAACTGAAATACTTCTCTTTTTATATCATCATCATCATCATCATCCTTTATTAGCAGACTCAAGGTCCATACAAAAAAGAAATAAAAGAAAAAGAAAATATAATATAATCAAATAACTTATTAAAAACTAACTTACCAGGAAAGTGACCACTTGTACACACATCAGCGTGATAGTATCTACCAAAAACCACAGAAGTGACATCTGGGAAAAAGGTATTTGATTTGTATTTTGAGTTTTTTGTGTAGCTCATGTTGCCTTATTACCCAGTTTGTTCATTGTTAACATCACAATCTAAGTCCAAACTTCTTGGTTAAACTTCAGTCTATCGCACTTTGTACTTTGTTACCGATATTTCAGGTGTCCTCACTTTTAGTCTCACCCTTAAATAATGTGATTTTTATGATACAGTATGGTTACGCTTGGCTTGTTTACAGCCTGTGTCATCCCTTGACCTCTCATGTCTCTTGCCACATTGGAATTCATTGCAGCAATGTTGCTGTCTTCCTAGATTTAGACAATTATTTTGGAAAGGACACTTTGAAACTGATACTTATGTGAATAAGTTGTAATAAACAGGAATCCAGCCACACTATGTTGCTATATGTATAATAATGTGAGGGGACAGTTAAACTAGCAAGCTAACATTCTGCCTAGCCTAGCAAAACCCAAGCTATAGTACGGTACGTTACCTCAGGAAATGTGACACACTAAGAAGGCCAATAACACCAGCACATGTGACAAACTGTGATTCTCATTTGTCTTATTCCTCCTACAGTTCTACTGTTCACATAACAGACAGGTTGCCTCTCATCTACAGTCAAACATGACTTGATAGCAACAGACTGTAGCACTTAAACAATCTGAAAAACTTCTGTGTGTTTGAACTACTGTAGGTCAGGTTAGATTATACAGGGACATTTAACAAAAGAATTCAGGCTTTCTTCCTCTGCCTCTTTCTTTGTCCTGTCTCCTCTCTATACCTCCCCTTTTCTTTTTTTGTCCCCCTTTTCTCTGTCAGTGTCTCTTATTTTTCTCCCAATCAAGTTATCTTCTATCACCTCTCCATTCTTCCTCTTTTTCTGTGTCCGTCATGTACTACAGGGGTCTACATCTGGTTTCTATCACGGTTCCTGCTGCTTGTTTCCCATCGATCTCTTCCACAGTTCAGCCCACTGCTGTTTTCTCCTTTTCTCTTTCTCTCTGGCTGATTTTCTCAGTGTGTCTCGGTCCCACTGTCATTTTTTAGTCTGTTTCTCCACTCACTCACACACAAAGTGAAAGTTCAAGTGTGATTATATCTACAGTGTACAGTAGAGAAATCCCACAAAGTTCCACTTTTGCTTTATTGTCCTTCTCGTCTTGACTGCTTTTCTTTTCCTTGTCTCTCTACATTTCTCTCTCTGTGCCAAGCATCTCTTTGGAAGACAACCATTGCCTTTTCCGTTTCAGTCTACAATACAGGAGAGAAAGACAGGAAGGCTGACGCAAGAATGACATACCCTGATTCTGTGCTGTGTGTGTCCATATTTGACACAAACAGGAGGATGTACACTCATGCACACTGTGCTGATTGTCCTCACTGACGCTCCATGTACCTTATGAACACAAACACACACTTTTCCGGCGACTTAATGGCCACTGACTGTAAATAGCTTTGGGCAAAGTGACTAAGATATCACCCACTGGTTTGTGACTGGTGGTTCTGAAGATGGGACATCTGTGTTTGTAGTTGCTGTATATGTTGTAATTATAAGTCAGAGCCAATGTAGAGGTGAAAGCTGTGGTATTCTGTCAGTAAGTGGGCAAAAATAACCAGAAACAACCCTAGAAACAACCCTTTACTATTGGGTACCTGAGAGTCAGTTGTAAATTATTGTCATTATTATTGTTATTTTCAGTTGGACAAAAATTATTAACTCAAGGCCTTACTTACTACTTTTTCCTAGAGATTTTCATTTTTCCTCATGGTCTAGTATTCCCCAGTGGACAGAGCTTGTTCAGCTGTCATCATGTCATTTCTTAAAGCTTTGATATTTGTATAAATATCATACTGTCATTCTGTGAAAACCATTTATCCCTAAAATCTCAATCTTTTGTGAGCTTAGAAAAACTATTCAGCTTTGTGACAATGCAATTTTCACTAATACAAATGTCTTTAAATGCTTCATTTGGGTTAACAGATACAGTATGACATTTTCCCAACACATAAAGGCAAACATTTAGCGCTCCAGTTTTTCTGGAACACTTAAAATCTAGAGATAAATGGTTTTTTTCAGACAGACTGGCAACCTGTCCAGGGTGTACCCTGCCTCCCATGATGAAACTCAGCATTTGAGAGCATGCATGCACAGGTTTGTAAGTGCAGAATCAGATTTGACAGTGTAATCCCAGCCTTATGTGCACTCCTCTCAGATTTTTTTACAGGTCCAAAGTAATTGTTAGTTTGGTGTCATGGTGTGGTCACGTTACAGTAAGATATAGATTAGATAGGAATAAAGTATACACAAATCCAGACAACATACACAACAGAGCTGTGTTGCTACAGGAAATAAGCAAAATATTTATTTTATAGGGTTTTGTAGACTGGTGGAAAAGCAGCATCATTTTTTTCTTTCTCTGTTAGAATTACACAGTGCATTTGAATGATGGTGCTTCCAGACTGAAATTCCATGCTTTGAACGTTAGCAGTGGTATATCCTGTTGATCACTCTGTGTACAGGCATGAAAACACACAAAAAAGGATAAATGTTGAGGGACAAATGGGGAAAAGGTGCTGGTGTTGTGTTACACAACACATCCAAACCAAACAGGCTAGCTAGCTTGACACTGACTTAGCTACAGTGAGCTTAGCTAGTCTGTCAATTGTGCTTTCCAAACCTGAGTGACCTATTTTTACCAACTCTGAATGAAGCTCTGTAAGTTGGCTCAAATTGTAGAGTTGAATATAAAGAAAATGAAATTGTGTTTTTGGCATCATCTGTTATTGAGAAAACAAACTAAAAAGCAATAGAGGAATAACATTCTGTTGTCAGATCAGCAATATGCTTTAGTTTATAATTTAATTTAAGCCCCCCCCCCCCCAAGTTTGCTTTTACAAGT